GGGGGGGGGGCGGCGCCACGAGGAAATCCAGCTCCACTTTGGAGCCAATCTAGCAGAGGATCCTGCCTGCAGCCTCTGCTCCCTTAGTCCTGCCACACCTCTCCCCCTTGTCTGCAGGAAAGGAGGGGGGAGAAGGGACAGGGAGGGAGGTACAGAATGGGGTTCACACAACCTGAGATGGAAGAGTGGGGCTTTGAGGAGCTGGGAAGCAGGGGGGCTCCAATGCACCCAGTCCCCCTCCAGCTCAGGCCCAGCAAACCCCAGCCTGCAGCTCCCTCCCCCTCCTTTCACCCTGATCCCTTCCTATAGACAGCACTGGGGATGGGCCCAATGCCAAGAAGGATTGACACAAATTCCCTTCATCTGCTCCCTCATTGGATATAGGCTAATTTGTTGTGCGATCAGCCACTTTTAAAGCACTTGGTAACCACGCACGTGAGAGAGACAGCTTGACTACAGAGCACTTTCAGGGGGCCAACTGCACCACAATGTCACTTCTGTCAGCACCCAGTTTTCATTCCACTGATACTGGTTTTATGGCATATTATAAACTACCCGATTCTTCCATTTCACGCATACACATGCATGCGTGCACACACGCATGCGAATTTCTCTCCCTCCCTACAACTTTTTTTCCCCCCTATGGCTGGCTTTTCTCTTCAGACCTGATGAAAAATGTCTTCAAAAGGACATGAAGAATGTCCCGCATTCAAAAGCTTGTCTAACTCTATCCCAACTAGTTGGTCCAACAGTAGATATCACCCTAAGAAATCCTTGCCTTTTGCATAATTCCTGGACCATCACAGCTATATTGCTTTAACACTACTCATTCCATCAATGAAATGATACTGATGTGCATGCACACATGTCCATGACTATTTATTACACTATCTTCACCAAAATTCAAGTGCTGCCCTGCTGCAAAAAGTCAAAGGTGACTGATGGACAGTGTCTAGATTATGAGGACAGTTTAAAAAAAAAAGCTGCGCTACTTATCAGTGCACCCTGCAGGCTGATGCACAACAGGAAGTGGCCGTGCACGGGTCCCCTGCGCGCTCAGCAGTGGACCAGAAGTAGTTTCGGTCCACTTCTGGGTCCACCGCCGAACCCCCTCGTGCTCCTGTGGGATGCTCCATCCGCCCTACCACAGCATTCACGAGCCTCACCTGGTACCTTGAGGTATGTAGAAAAAAAAAAAAAAAAAAAAAATTTAAAGCTGTGTCTATGGCCAAACCGCCGATTCTCTGAATCAGCATAAAAATCTTCAGATTTTGATTCGGCTGAATCCAAAATCGGAACTGTGATCCAAATCAACAAACTGAATCACTGTCTCCCGATTTGGGCCAAATCCAAATCAAATACGGCCCGTTTTGCACACCCCTAGTGTCCTGCCCATCAGTTCCCTGAGGGAGTCAAAGTCTGCTTTTCTGAAGTCCAGGGTCCGTACTCTGCTACTTTCCTTTCTTCCTTTCCTAAGGATCCTGAACTCAATCAACTTGTGGTCACTGCTGACCAAGTTGTCATCTGCTATGACATCCCCTACCAATTAATCCCCGTTTGTGAGCAGGTCAAGAACAGCACAGCCCCATGTTAGTTCCTCCAGCACTTTTACTAGGAAGCTGTCCCCAACACTTGCCAAAAACTTCCTGAATCACCTTCGCACTGCTGTATTGCCCTCCCAGCAGATGCCAAGATGACTGAAGTTCCCCATGAGAACCAGGGCCTGTCACTGGGAAGCTTCCACTAGCTGTTTGAAGAAAGCCTCATCCACCACATCCTTCTGGTCTGATGGTCTATAGCAGACCCCCACCATGACATCACCCTTGTTGCTCTCCCCTCTAATCCTAACCCAGAGACTTTTGACAGGCCTATCTCTAGTTTCACATTGGAGCTTTGAGCAATCATACAGCTCTTTTACATACAGCACAACTCCTCCTGCTCTTCTCCCCCATCTGTCCTTCCTGAACAGTTTGTACCCATCCAGGACCATGCTCTAGTCATGCAAGCTCCCACCAAGTCTCTGGTATTACATCATAGTTTCGTGACTGCAAGGACTTCTAATTGCTCCTGCTTATTTCCCAGGCTCTACGTATTCCTGGGAAATAACCTGAAAAAGTAGGGCAATCAGTTACCTACTTACCTCAGGAAGAATGAGAATGCCTCCCCTATCGCCCCCTCTTGCTTGCTCTTCCTCTAGGTCACCCACCTCCTGGCTTACCTCAGGCCAGAGATGATCCGAGCAGGGCAAATCAGCCTGTGCGGGCCCCCGCCCCTGGATGCAAGGAAGCCAGCAGATTTGGGGGGGGGGGGGGGGGTTGTCAAGTGACCAGACTTGAAGCCAGCAGCAGCACGAAGTCGCCATAGCTGCTACACCTGGCTCTACGGAGCCCCCCAAAGCACGGGACTCAAGGCGGTCACCCCAATTCGCCCTCCCCTAGGGATGGCCCTGCCTCAGCCCTTTGGTTTCCATCCCCCAGTGAACCTAGTTTAGTTTAAAGCCCTCTTCATCAGGTTAGCGAGCCAGTCTGTGAAGATGCTCTTCCCTCTGTCACATTGATCCTGTCCCTTCCTAGCAATCCTTTTTGGAATAACAATCCATGGTTAAAGAAGCAGCCGCCCTGCTGGCGACACCACCTGTACAGCCATGCTTGATCTGCAAGATGGGTCTGCTCATACCTGGGCCCTTCCCCTTGACTGGAAGGACTGTGAACGCCACCTGAGCCCCTGTCCCCTTCACCCTTGCACCCAGATCCCTGTAGTCACTTTTGATCACTCTGTGCTGTCCAGTGGTGCCCACATGGATGAGCAGCATGGGGTAGTAGTCAGAAGGCCAAAAGGACTCTGGGTAATCCTTCCATGACATCTTGGATCTGGGCTCCAGGCAAACAGCAGACATCCCAAGATGACAGGTCAGGCCTGCAGATGGATGCCTCTGCCCTCCTCAGAAGAAAGTCTCCAACCACCACCACCTGTTGCTTCTTCTTGGTGGCGGTGGCCTTGATCCTTCTAACCTTAGGAAGGCCTGGCCTGTCCTCCTCCATCAATGGAATATGCTCCTCCTCCTCCTCTGTTTCTAGGGCTCTATATATGCTCTCCTGGCAAACAGATTTCTGTTTGCTGGCAGAGGTCACAAGCTTCCACCCTCCTGGGAGTCCACATCCTCTCCCTTCTCTATAACACTACCTTTGACAGTTCTTTCTCCATAGTCCTAGAGGTCTGCTCCAGCACTGAGTCGATTAAATCCTCATAACAAAGGATGCTTCAACACCTTGCCACCTCCTCCTGTAATTCTCTTGCCTGGTCCCTGAAGGACACCACAAGGACGCACTGCTTACATCTCAGCCACTCCACCACCTGGCTATCACTGCAAGGAAGCTGGGAGTCACAGTCTACAAAGTACCAAATGGACCTGGGTGGAAGCCTCAACAGCGAGTGGCCCTGCCTGGACAGACACTTCACAGGTGCAAGCAGAGGCTCTGGCACTGCAACATCCTCCAGCCATTTCTCTGGATCTTAATCTACTGCCTCTCTCTTTGTTTGGAAGAAGAGCAGCAGACCTTCCCTAGCAGACTCACCCGCAAGCTGGCTTGTTTACTTCTCCTTGGTCCCAAAAGGTTCCTTGTTTCTTTGCCTCCTTTCACCAAGCTTAAAGGCCCCCCTTCAAACAGTGGGGTGGCAAACTGACCTGCAAACTGCTTCCCCATTTGCTGCCCCTGATCACATGCTCTCTGGTCCCTTGGGGAATCTCCTTTAATACTCTGCTGCGCCTAGACTGGTTCCACCCCCTAGTTAGTACTTTTGTCCAACAAAGGCAGCAATCACTCAGCTAGCAGCACTCCCAGCTGCTCAGAGAACAAGCCCACAACACACACAGCCTACCAAACACTCAGCAAGCCACCCCCCCCCCCAGCTGACTTAGCTTCCCAAAGCAGATTCTGGCTTCTCTTTCTCTTCCTCCTCTTGCTCCCAGCAAACTGCTTCCCGAAGTGACAAGGGAGCGAACAAGGGTTTGTTCACTTGCTCCCTTGTTACTTGGGAAGTCTCATGTTAGAGTTTCTCTGGTCTCTCGGGGAATCTCGGAGACTCCTTGCAGAGAGGGCAAGCAATGGGGGCAGGAAACCAGCTAGGCAGGGAGCTTATCTGCTCAGGATAAACTGATCTGCTTTTCTCCTTGCACTTGAAGCCTCAGTCTGCCTCTACCTGCCCCAATGCCCAGATTGAAAATCACTGCCCCAGACTATTAGAATAACCTTTGGTTTCATACCCTCAAAGAGCTTTAAAAACAAAAAAAAAAAAACAAAACCAAAAAAACAAACAAAAACAAAAAACAAACAAACAACCAACACTCACCTACAAGCATCCAGACAGCAAACCGTATCCAAGTCCACTTATCCAGCTGCATCATAAGGTAAACATTCACAAAAATACTCAGAATAGGAAGAAAAGGCAAAAGAGGTACCTGAAAAGAAAGAGAAGTTACAGCCATGTGACACGCTAACAGCCAGACAACGCCATCCCTTACAAATGGGAAACATCAGTAACACTAAATATTCAGACAGGGCATCTGGAAAAGTGGTAAGTATATCAAAATTCAGGGTTTAATTCTCCTGCTGTAAGGAACAAACACAAACACCAGCCCAATGAGCATGGAAAGGCCTTTGACTTAGATTTTCTCTCCTGTTACTGCCATGGAATAATCATCTTCAATCTAAAAGCCCTCCCCAGTATTCTCTCTCTGACAGTATTACAGCACGGGTATCCTCCCAGCTGTAAAGATAGTCTGTTGATAAAAGGCAGGCAAGAGAAAAGAGAAGAGGTGCCAAGGTGCACTAGCAGGGAGCTGTGTGAAAGAACCTGTACTCTGGGACTGTCTCCACTAAGCTCATTTGAACCAATAAAATTGGCCTCTCATTTAGTAACCACATCACATTCTCCCACTCTATCACCTCCATCTTCCCAAGCACAACCAACGCCTAAAAAAACCTTTCTGCCCTTCCCTGCTCCACTCATCCCTTGCAGGCCACTTACTTTAAATGAGAGCTTGGTTTTGCTTTCGGGTTGTTGTCGTATAATGTATGTAACACAGGAGCAAAGGAAAAGTAGAACAGCCGTGATGATACCAAACAAAACTTTATCTTCAATCACAGCCCTTTCATAAAGGACGGTCACCACACAGCAGCTGACAATAAGAACACCTGAGGACAACATATGTAAACATTTATTGAATCATTACTGAAAGAACTATTTGTAATTTTTGAGTCAGCCTTGGACTGCAGGCACGTTGTCACCTATACATCCTGTTTGCAGGACTTAAATTTAAACCAGCCATTTAATCCACAGGTTTTGATGTCTGTTTTGTTGCCTCTGGTCTTTGGAACAGTAAATCAAGCTCATAAATAATCAATAGTGTGCCAGAAAGGACTCGTGAGCTTTCTGAGAATGGTTAACACCAGTCCCTACCAGCTGCTTCACTGGCAGAGACGTGGAGCCAGATCACAGAACTTACCTATGACACCAGCTAAATAGTTAACCACAGACCCAGAGAGTTTGGAGGGGTCTGTGTTCTTGGGGCACAGGATGGCTTTAATGGAACATTTCTCATCCTCTTCAGGCAGAAAACCGGTTTGCGAATCACTGGTGCTCACAGATTCGTTGTTGTCTGGCTCATCTGTTGTACTAGCCATCTGGTATGCCAGGTTAGGTTGCTTTGGCTGATACCTGGGAGATGGGGAAAAAACAAAATGAGCAGTCTTGGGATAGGGTAGAGTAGAATGGCTCTGCCTAGAATCAGGAAAGGTCCTGCCTGCGCTAGGAGTAACCGAGGCTCCAAAAGAAACACTTTTACAAGGGGGAGAGGGGGAAGGGAGAGGGAAGAATTTTACTCAAATCAGACCAATCTTGGCTACTTGTCCAACCTGAAGGTAGCATTCTAAAAGTCCGCAAGTAAAGAGCAGTGCAGTGCAACCCTCACCCATTTTCAACACACAAGTGAGGGGAGGCTACAGGAGACACCAAGAAAACATCCTATAGGGAGCAAGCCTTCAATTGGGAAAACTGAGATGCCTTCATAGGCCCTTCCCACCTCCAACTCCCATGCTCCCCCATTAAAGTCCCAGCATGTAATGGTACACCTTGATCTATGCCAAAGATTGGACAGCGTCTCACATGGTCCCTGAGCCTTGGGTTTGGCCAAGTTGCGCTAAGCAAAGTAATCAGAGATGGAAAGTAAACAGGGATAGCATGGAACCACCTTTGAACATACTGCTGCAGGGAAAGCTGGAAGTTGGTTTGCCCTCTTGATTCATTTAGAGCTGTCCACTACCAGCTTAAGCCCACTGTACCAAGAGGGGCTCACCAGAGGACCTAAGCAGCTGGGGATGAGAGCAAGCAATGGAGCACTGATATGACACTTTGGGACTGCCTATGGTCCAAGAGTTATTTTTTAAAACATGGGTCTTTTGGCCTGGGGGGGGCGAAGGAGGATGACAATCTGACTGACAACTCAACAGCCAGTACGCTGTGGCTACTAATACTATACCAAGCACAATCATTTCATTTCACTGCTGTGCGACCTGTTTCCCATCCCACTCTTCCCATTTGTTACTATATCTGCCTGTTGTCATTTGCTAAGCTAAAGCTCTTTGGTCCCTGTCTTTTTATTGTACATGTTACAGCCCCAACTAAGTGCTACCTATAAAGTTCCTCTGAACACTCTTCAGTGTCTTTTCACAAAGACCTTTAATTGTAAATAACTTTAGGCTTATCCCACAAGCTCCAATTAAAGGAGTGGGGCACTTCTAAAGATCGTTTAATATCTCTTTTTGCAGGTGTGTTTTTAATGAGGTTGCCTATAGGTTTACAGGGTGAGCAACATTGCAAAAATTAGCAATTACATGCAACAGCTTGCATAACAACTCAAAACACTGCCCAGTTAGGCAGAAAAAGATGGAGAAGCTGAATATTCACCTCTTCAGGCCTGTAAGAGGCTGCCTGTTTTGCAGAGATAAGGCTGGTTTTGCAGCTGCAAAAAATCACCTGCCAGATGGTATGCAGATGGGAGTGTACAGCAGCTTGCAGAAGCAGATAATTGGCCTAACCAGCAGGGTGGGAGCCACTATCTTACAGTTACTACTGAGAACAGGAGATTGGGAAATAAGAAAACTTTACAAGGCAGTCTGGGAAGGGGAAATCCCCCAAACTCTTTTCAGCCCATGCAACAGGGAATGCAGGGAGCAATTGTTTGTAAACATATCGACTCCAGGCCTCAGGCTACTGTGTTTTAGGTCAGGTGTCTAAATGGCCTCAACTAGCCCTGAACAAACTGTTTGGTGTTACATAGCTCCTTTCATCACACAGGGCACTGTAAACATCAGTAACATGAATTTCACAACACCCCCATTTCAGGAATCAGATATTACTGCTCCCACTGGGTACAAATAGAAGGCGAGGTCCAAAGCAGCTAAATCAAAGATTCTCAACCAGTGTGCTGTGGCACCCTGGGGTGCCTTGAGATCCTTTCAGGTGGCCATGCAATACTAGATGTGCAAACACCTACATATGGTTCATACGGTGAACTCAAGAAAATTCAGGTAGGAATCGACAGTGTCAACAACTTTCTGCCCTGCTGTGGTCTTTCTGAGCTATTCACAACAAAATTGTTGTTATTTTTCTGGAGTCAATAAACAAATGGAAGCGAAGAATTGGCATTTTCCAAGAGCCTAAAAAAGTTGGGAGCCACTTAGCTAGATGACCAAGGCCCTGACCCCACAAACAGCTGCTTAACTTTATCACTACTTCACCAACCTTCACTACCACTTTATTCATCAAGTTAGAAATGTGCCTACGTGTTTTCAGGGCTGACACAGTCATATGGCTAGGCTGTAGCAGCCATCAACAGGCTCCAGAAGTCTCATGAGCCATGCTTGCTTTCATTATTAGACAAACTGCATCCTGGAACACAGGAGGGACACAAAAAGAGAGAAACTCCACAAGGTTCCTTAATGACATCTCCACAGATCCTTTTGATGAGGCAGGGTCTGCTCCTCATTGAACCAGCAAGCTCAGACCCTGGCCTTCTAAACAGTATTTCTTCAGCCATGCCTTCCCACCCTCTGCATCTCTTCCCTTCTCTTGTAGCAAGGCTGTATTGACAGGTATCCCTCTTTTCCCCTCTCAAATCTTCCCCTAAATATCAGCAAGTGTCCTCAGCATGGGGGAGATCCTTATAAAAGGACACCACCACCTAAGATTATTTCACCATACAAGTTTAATGCAGAGACTGCACCCAGCCCACCCATGAGTACATCCCTTGTGATGTCCATGATGCCTGAAGAAGTGGCATTCACCCTCTTAGGTGAATGGGGAGGAGACCCAAGGGGAACCCCAAGATCCCTTCTTCCAGTAGATCCAGTGGGGACAATACAATTTCTTCAGGAGTAAAAATGCCAAACTTTTCAAGATTGTCCATAACAATGCTTTAAGTTCAGTATGTGCATTGTTTAACTTGGCCTGTGGTAGTCACAAGGCTATTCTGGCGAGTCATGTTCACTTCAGTGTGTGCGCTACACATGGGTATGTTTTCTTCCTGTGAGCCTGTTCTGAAAGTGTGGAACCATGCACTCAGCTTAATGCATACCTCAGTACCAATACGCAGGCTGCCACTAAGGAATAAGCCAGGAGGGTCCCAATAGACATAAGATCCACAAGATCTTTCAGGTCAAAGAGCAAGGCCATGATAGCTGGGAGGGAGACAAAGAGAAACCAGTAAAGATGCAAAATATTTTGGACAAGTATTTGGACATGTATTTTGGACATGTCAATTTCTAACACCGTTGCTTCAAGTGTGACCACCAAGGGATACCCTAGGAAGGGTGGGTTTTGTGCCATCTGTTATGTCAGAGGAAAGATGTGAACCGGGTATAAGGACAGACCCTGCATATCTCTCTTGGTTCAAACTAATGTAGCCCACGCAGAGCCAACCCGAGCAGGGTGTGAGGCCCAGGGCAAAATCAGCCCATATGGGGCCCCACCCCTGCTCCGATCCCACGCACCCTGGTCCTGAAGAAGCTGCTGCTGCCGCCATTGGCAGCAGCAGCGTGGGCAGCTGGAGGGGTGGGGTAGTGAGCAGCTGGACATGAAGCCGCTGCTCCGCCCAGCTCTGCAGGGCCCAGGGCGATTCCCCGCCCCCCCCAGAGACGGCCCTGAGCCCATGCCACTATGTCACCACATAGGATCCCTCATGTGTTGTCCAGAAACAAGCAGCTCTAGGCCAGAGCTTTCCACCTTCTGCAGAGGAAGCACACGCTGGGGCAGAGACAGAGAAGAAAGGTGCTACATCATATGAATGAGATGACAGAACTGGGCCCTGAAAATGGCCATGAAAAGAATGTATGTAAAAGCAACGATGCATTTGTGCCTACCCAGTCCTGTGCCATTTGGGCTTAGGGGGACAATACGCCATGCGGGAGGATGAGAAGTAGGTCAGTTTGTTTTACCCAGAAAGGAGAATACACTTGCTCTCAGTTCATACTCCCTATTCGGTTTCTTGGAACTTACCTGCAAAAGCACCTGAAATTAACGTTGCTATGAATGGGGTTTTTCTCGTCTCGCTGATTTTGGCCAACGATTTAAACAGTAGCCCATCTTCTGCCATAGCATAAATTATTCGAGGCATAGGAAACATGGAGCCAAGGAGACTAAGGAGAGAGAAAGGAATGGTCTATTAAGATAATTTCATATTAAACACTATCAGAAGGACAGCGTCTATGGCAGCACAGGAGGGGAATAAGGCTTTAGTTCTATTGTAAGGTCTTCTGCAGCACCTCTACCACAAAACAGTTGTGTTACTTACGCAAGGAACGAAGGTCCAATCTTTCAGTCTCAGATGACTGAAGTTAGGTACCCAAAATCATACATAGGTTCCTAAATGTAAACAGACCGATTTTCAGAAGGGCAAACATCAACATGCCCAGCGCTTCACCAAGGAGTACCTTTTTCATACTATGTCTAATTGAGTCCATCATGCTTCACTTCCCTGGGGCTGCTGGTAAAGAAGTACTGTTTATGCATCTGAGGGTAACTTGTTTTCATACTGTCATTAAGATAGTCTCCAGAGTTAGAAACGAATCTGCAGCTCTGAAAACTAAGCACAACCGAGTGAAACCTGGACCTTGTTGAAGTCAGCAGGGCCAGGATTTCACCATAGGGCCCAATTTCTCTATCATTAACATCCATACAAAGAACATAGAACTGCAGCCCTTAGAAAGGGGGATGCAACCAAAAAAAAAAATGCAAATCTATACTCAGATACATACAACAGTGATAGTATCTCACCTGGTAGAAAGGGCACAGAGTGAACCAATGGCCACTGCGTAGTTGGCACCATCCCAACCCACATATTTAAATGCATTGGGTAAAGGACTGTTGGTATCGAGCTGGCAGTAGGGCATCATAAGAGTGAGAGCAGCTGACACACCAAAGTAAGCAACAAAGCAGATCAGGAGCGATGAGACAATTCCAATGGGAATTGCTTTCTGAGGGTTTTTCACTTCCTCACCTGAAACAAAGAAAACCCAAAGGACAGCCATAGTCAACAATTACACTGATCTAATAAGACACAAAAGCTAGGGTTCTCAAATAAGCCATGAAGGGTTAAATGCCTAACTCCCATGAAAGGCAAGAGGAATTTGATGCCTACCTGCCATGTTTGTAAATCTTTATAAAATTGCAATGTTGTTTACTTAGAAGCAACAGAAAGGAGCAGTGTAGATGCAAGGACAGAACTCAGAAGATGTGGTACTGGATCCACAAAAGGACTTGGGTGCCCTAATTGTGGTACCTAGGCTCTCTGTACATACACAGGGAGAGTCAGATACCCAAGAAGTCAGCAAGCTAAAGAAAGAGCTGCGTATGCTCACCAACAGGAAATGCTGACAGTGGAGGTTCTTAAAACCCTGTCTCCTCTCAGAGAAGTGGGCCCTGTGCCACAGGTGCATTCAGGTGCCTCACTCCCCCCGATTCCTGCCACTAACTGGCAGCTGAGTGCACATCTGAATTTTGGACTGAGGCCCTCAACATGGAAGTTACAATGTGCTGCCTTTCTTGCTTACCTGTGGTGGCAATGCAGTCAAATCCCACAAAGGCATAAAAGCATGTGGCTGCCCCTGAGAGGACTCCGGTGAATCCATATGGCATGAACCCCCCCACACCATACTGGGTATGACTGAAAAGAATGAAATGACAGGTCAGGAGAGATCCTACCTAGGCAGAAACACTAGCCAGGAGCATGTTCCCATATCTGTAACAAAATCTATGACCAGAACTAGAGGGAGTGTATGCTCAGCTTCACCGAGTTGGCAGACAAAGAGCATACAGCAACAGGCATGAAGGCTTACCTAACATATAGGTTTGGCGTGGCCAAACAACAACCTTGATTTAAAAATATGCCTGGCCAAAATTATGGTTTCACCAGATATTTAGTTGTAAAAACTCCCCTAAACCATCCATTTCTCACTACTCTAAGGTATTTCCAGAAAAAAATTTCATATGCAGGACCCAAACCTGCAAGGATCTGAACAGGCACCTCACATTGTCTGGGCAAACCAACTACAGTTGAGTTGCCTGCTCCCCTGCCCATCACTTAAGCAGCGAGCATGGCCAGTCAGGGGTTACACCGGTGCTCTCAGGGGGTGCGCATGCACGCCCATACACCCTACGCATTGCCACTGGCAGTGCTATTTAGAGCATGTGAAGTGAAGTCTGTGCATAGGACTTTGCAGGTTTTCACTGCAAACAGGTAATTGAAGGACATGACCCTGCTTTACTCAATGCAGTAGCTCTAGTCCCACAAAAGGGCTTGTCCTTTCTATAAAATTACAAGGTATCAAGCTTTTGGTTCTTACATTTACAACGTCCCAACTTTTCATGCATGGTTATCACAGCCCTTGACACTGCTAACAAACTGTCAGGAAGATAAGTGCATATCATCTCAGTTACCATTAGCTGTTACTAAGCCAGAACCTGCATCTGTGCATGTGTTAGGACCACCCCGGCACACTGGCTTCCAATTTTGTTTGTGCAAATTATGGGCACGAGCCTTTACCTATCAATAAGGCTTTAATAACATTAAGGGAGTTAAATAACCTTTGATTGAGTTTGATCAGGTCTTTAGTCATCCAAAGATATTGACCAACATGAGACGAGATAAGAAGCAATTCAAATCCTGTCCTAATTTGAAGCTTTCCTTAACCTGGACTACTGACAGTACAAATGTACAGGCCACATTTCAAGTGTCCAGGAGCCTGTGCTTTTGTGACTCACAGCTAAGGGGCTGGTGAACAGGTATCACAGCATGCCTCTTGGTCTTGGGCACCCAGAGACTTCTGTGGACAGCCTTAGGGCCATCTGACCCTGAAGTTTCTGCTTAGTACTTCTACCATTGCCGGGCTGATCAGTTTTAAAACATACTGTATTCCTAGATGGAATAAGGCATGGGGGCCCAGCATCTTTGCCCTCCACATTCAGAGCAGCACTGTGAGGTATTGGCTTTGTTCTGCTCGTGGCAGAGTCTTTGCTTTCTGGGTGATGCTTTCTGTATTCCTCCAGTATGCCTCCCAGCTGATGCACCTCTGCATGAAAATGAAAGCACCAGGACCCTGGCACTCAAAATACACCTCACCCTCCTCCTCAAGCTATGCTATGTGCTTGGCCCATCCAAGAGCTACATTCCCGAGGAGGAAGAACTAAACTCCATGGAGGCAGTGGCCTTCTCTGGTACCAACTACGGACTGCCACTCTTGGGCTCAGGAGACAAATCGCTGATTGATGGGAACATAGCCCTGAGGACCTGGTGTAAGTTCATGGTGAGCAGGGTCACTTTCCTTAAGACCTGCACCAATTTGGCCCTGTCACTCAAGACAAACCAGTAAAACAAGGGTAGCAAGTGATTTCTGGAAACTGGCGCCCCCTCCTCCATCCACAGCTTCCAGTCTGCTGCCTTACACTTCTGAAAAGTCAAGTCCACAGCTCAACCAGCTGTCCAGGAGGTATATTATGCCATCCAGAAGGCACTGGAACAACACTTCTGCCTGACCAAACACACAAGAGATCATAACTGAATTTGATACCTAGATGGGCTTTCTGAACTGCACTAAGGCCACTGATAGCACTCATGTTTGCATATAAGTGCCCAATTTTGAGGACACCAACAGCAAGGTGTGTTTATCATGCTGCATGGCATTACAGAGGATTGGGGGTGGTTCACCCACATGACCACCAAGCAAGGTCCATGACATCAGAGTCACCAAGATTGCACAGCAGATAGAGGGAGCATTTGCCTACAGCACTCAGCATAGAGTTGGAAGGGATATCTACCCCCAGGACTACCCACTTCTCCCACAGCTTAGAAGGGAGTTCAGGCTCCCACGGCCCTTTACCAGACACTTGGCTATGAGGATCTTCAACTACCAGATGACCGTGGACTGCATCTTTGGGCATTTCATGCCACAGTGGAGGGCCCTGGGGGATGCACCTGGACACTATAGTGAACAGTACCTATCCTAGATGATCATACTGGCCTACACTAGCCGAGAAGCCAGGGACAAGACCTTTCCAGAGGCTGGCATCAGGACTCAGAGACTGAGCATCTGCAGCATCACAACCGTCAAGGTGTTTGAGATGCAAGCCCAGATGAACCGCTTCCGGCAGCACTGGGCTTTAAGGCAGCACCACTGTGTAAAGTGCAAACAGACACAAAAGACAATTCATTAATTTGTTCTTAACCATTTTATTAAACGTTTCAAACAATCAAACGCTGCAGGCTGCACTTTACAAACCAGAACGGGTGCAGGGGTTGCTGCGTGAATTGGGGAGTGGAATGTCCTGAAGAGTAGCCTAGCCCTGCCATCACAGGTATACTGACTCCCCATGGAGGGGAGGGATTTTTCAGAGGGGGAGGAGGGGTGTAAAGTGGCAAAGCAACACGCCACCTCACTGAGCACATGGATCAGGGGTGCTGGAGTCCCACATTGCACTACTTTGAGGTCAATGGGCACTGTTCCCAACCTCACATCCTTAAGTCCCCTGGCAACAACCGTGTCCTGGAGCTCCTTCCTATGCTGGAGTAACAACTTCGGGGCCCCATGGTAGAAGGCCATTTGGGTTGTTTGGCATCACTTTCAGCAAGCCCTATGAATGGGGGAAGTGGACTGTGCACAAGCATCAAGACTTAGAGCCTGGTTTTGGTACAGCTATAACAACAGGAAGATGGTTTGAGCATGGGATGAGGAGGCCTAGACCTAGGTGGTGTGGGCTGAAAAACAAAGGGGGGGGGGGGAAGGTGCCTGGGGTACAGAGATCTGAACCTAAGAGGGGAGGATGGAGTCCAGACTATGGTGGAAAGCACTGAAATTGTGTTGGGTAGTGAGCACTGACACAGGGACGAGGACAGACCTGCACCTGAGGGGCAGGCCTATGTTTGGGAGGCAAAAACAGAGCACCCTCCATCTATTGGTTGACAGTGCTTATGAGAGACCACTTCATGTCTCACCACATGCAAGTTCTGCACCAGCACGTGGCATGGTCTGTTTTGCCACGCCAAGCGTTCCATACCTGGAACAAAGCAGCGTGCCTGGACTGGGAAATACCCCTCCTGGCAATATTCCCTGCCAGTACATCTCTCCTTTACACCCTCTGCTCTCATCTCCAAGGATGTTACCAGGCCTGCTAACATTTCTTCCCTCCTATTCCTCCCACCACATCCCTGCTACTCTGGACTGTAGTCTTGGCTCATCTCCCTGGGTCCCTAGAAAGGCAGTAGCTGGGGTTGCAGGTGTTGACCCTGGAATGACAGCAAATAGACAAGGAGGCATTGTTAAAAACTTGTGTAACATGGCATTAAGTGCTGAATTCCTAACCCCTTCCCCTTCAAAAAAAAAAAAAAAAAAAAAAAAAAACAGCTTTGCATCATTCTTTCCTGGGGACTCTTCACATCTACTGCAGTTTCCCAAAATGGTAAATACATCAGCCCCTCAGATCCTAAATGGAGACCACCACCCATATGATTCCAAAGCATATGGAATGCCTCTGATGACGCTGGGGTAAGGGGGTCAACCTGGGGAAAATGCCTCTTGCTTAGGCTGCCATTGGACATTTTCCTGGAGTTTGCAAGACCTCAAAAAACAAAACAAAAAACAGGTCCATGGCTGACTCTCTAGGCTTTTATACACAAACCTTCTCTCTACTCCCAATACTCCCAAGATGCTCTCTAATCTCGCAAGCTGCCATGATTTACATGGATGTGGCTCCCCTCCTTATCCCAAAAACCAATGGGTAGGAGATAAGCATTTACTGAAAGCCTTGCTGCCTCATCATATTGCCTTCTGGGAGACCAAGTGAGTTACAGAGGAAAGTTACCTTGGAGAGAAAGGTCCTACCTTTCAATGACAGAGCAAGGCTGCACACTTACTTCCTGAGGAGGTTTGAGCACCTCTCACTAGGTGTGGACTCTACTGACTCCTTCCTGGAATGACTACTCCTCAAAGCCCGAGGGCTGCCTGTGGGCCTTTCACAGCACACCCTTCCCCCCACCCTTCCCCCCCAGCACTACCCTCAAAGAAAGTTCACTGTCTCTAGGCAACTGCCTTTCAAAATACCAAGGCCTGCCTCCCTCCCTCACAAAATCTCTCTCTACAGGTGCTTGCTCCCTTCCTGCCCTCTGGAAAAACCTATTTTCCAGACTCTGCATGGGCCCACAGAAATGCCCATGTCAGCACATGGGATGCCCCACCATGCTTCTGTCAATGACACTCCTGAACACTCCCACCTGCATGCTGTCTTGATGAAGCAAGAAATTTCCCTCAGACTCTTAGAAGAGCAACATCAAGGGCTCAATGAACTGAGTGGTCCCCACTGTTTCCCCAGAAAATGCACACCACACCCCCCTCAATGCCCAAACTGCATGCAAATGGAGTGGAAGGGAGAGATGCTAACCCTACAGTCAGTCTGCAACCTACAGGGGACCATACCACACCACAGTTTACACTACAGTTTTAATGGTCCTGGAGATGGCAGCATCCAGCCCCTACATGCCCTGCAGGCTGCCTGACCACTCCCCACCCTCTGTTAGGGCTAATACACAGGACCCAACCCTAAGGCTTCGCCCTACCAGGGCACTGGCAGATGACATTTCTGGGCACAGCTATGCCCCAGGCCTTGCTCAAAACAGGTGGGGGGAGAGGGGAAAGGGGTGTCTTGAGCCATTTATTAGGGAAAGGGAACAATCCCACCATAGCATGGGTGCCCCAGTACTCACCAGTGCAATTGGTGTGCAGACAGGCAGGCATTCTCCCTCCAGGTAGGCAGGCTCTGGGCACAAATAGGTTGAGGGCAGGGTGGTCAGGAGAAATGGTGGCAGGATAAGTATGTGGGACAATGGCAAAGTGGCACAGTGGAGTGTTGGAAGACAGCTTGTCATGGTGATGGCAGAACAGACAGGCAAGATAACAGGATGCTTGGCTGCTCCTCCAGGCCCTCCTGGAGCTGCACCTGGGTGGGGATATTGACTGGAACCTCCATCTCAAACAGCTCTGGCTTAACCCTAGCGTAGCCAACAAAAAAATGTGGTCTAGTGGAATTATCTCTGGCTAGTAGGGCCACAGCTAGTTTTAAAGAATATTGCTCATCAGGCACCTGAAACAATTCTTGTACCACAGCTCTCTTGTACCATGTTTTTAGGACTTTTGCCTCAGACCAGCATTGATGCCAGTTCCTGGTTGTGGCTGTGAGCTGACATCTCTGCTGCAAACCATTTGTGAACAATCCGGTTCTGATGGTTCTTCTTGAGGGATGGCTAGGTGCTCTCCTTGTGCCAGATGGGGAGAAGGTCCATGACCTCTGCACCCCTCATTGGTGGAGAACTTCACGGATGTAGATTTTTTTTCAGATGTATGTGCCATAGTGTGATAGGTGAGTGCACAGCACCCTAATAGATAAGGTCCTGGGGTAGTGATTCAGAAATGGTGGCCATGTTGTACCTTCACATGTAGCTTTAAAAAGGCAAGGATGCATGTGGAGCAGACCCTGTGACCTTGGATAAGTGGAGCTGAGCTACCTTAGGGGGTACGAAGCAGAGAGCCATGGCAACCTCGTGGATCAGCCAACTCCCTATCATTCTTTGCTATATGGTACAAAGGTAACTAGAACAGCTTCAAAGAGAAACATTTTAGAAATTATTCCTCTTTCTATCCAAAGGGAATTTTGATATGGTTTGGAGTGATCTGCAATGCTTCAGCACTGTACACTGTCTGTTCTCTCACAGTTCATAATGTTTGTTGTACTCCAAGCACTATGTGCATCCGTGCCCTAAAAAAAAAAAAAAAAGCTAGGTGCTCAACTCCCAGGCCAAGTACAGACTGACAAAAAGCGCAAAGATGAATCAATTCAATCTTTGCAGATTAGTCTAAACTGCATAGACTGAACCAATAAAGAAGTGAACAGACAGTCACTTTTGATTCCAGAAATACAGCCACATGCCTGCAGTAGTTCAGGCCAGAACTTGAGGGTGCTAGAGTATACCTCCCTGCTTGACTAGAGCAGACAGCTTGGGCCAAGGCTGGCCCACGCACCCTGTGGGGAGGTGAGTTTGCAGGGGAGGTGCAAAGCATCCTGGGATGCTGGGGGACTGTAAGTTAACCTGAATCTAGAGGGGATCTGGGACAGAAGTTCAATAAGCCGATTTAACCTAAATCAGTTAAGTCTTATACTACATTCATTCAGTTACCTTAAACCAGTTTCAATCAATCATTCTGAAAGCAGTTTATGTGCACTGAACTTCTGTTGTGTTACAGATTTGAACCAGTTTCCACTTATATTGGTATATATACAATTTCTGGCCCTAGCCCCACTGTTTACATCTCCCTGGCTAACCAGAAGTGAGTAACCTTTCACTGCAATCAAACAGGGCCCTACTTTTGCATGGATTACAGGTGATGACAATCTGACAACCTGTGTCATCTCAGCCCTCCTTTAAGCAAAGCTTCTACTAACATCTACAAGAATTTTGCCCAAGTACCAAGGAAGCAAATGCCCAGTGAAGCCTTCCGGGAATGGCCCGCTGAGCCACAGGTTAGCTTCTAACTAATTGCTGAAAAGGAAGAAAAGACATACTTGACTAGAGTCATGTTACGGATGTCCTCCATAGACAGCTGCCAGTTTTTGATGGATCCCTTCACAAAACCCGACACCATGACGAAACAGAGGACGAGGATATTGATACAGGTGAATACTTTGTTAACTAGTGCTGATTCCTTCACACCAAAAGTTAAGAGACCTGGAAAAACAACAAACACACAATCAGACATTTCTCCAACAGTAGCACACAGTCCAACCTCAATGGAGCAAGGGCAAAAATGCAGAAGTCACTACGACCAGCTATTTTCAGCAGTTCCTCAGAAATAGGGGCAAGCATAATTCTGGAACAGGGCTCAAACACAGCAGGTATATCACACCTAACACTTAAACAAGTCAGAGGATGACACCGTCTAGGGTAGTGGTTCTCAGCCTTTTTGTACTTCAGGGACCCCCCACTAGACTCGAGGCACCCCCCTCCATAACTTTTGTGAATTGAGTGGTTCCTATTTTCAAAGCTAGCATTATACTGCTTACCTCCTTGCAGAAGAGCCAGAAAGTGGGGACAGGAGACTGTCCAGATAAGCACTGGCTCAGTTTTGTCCCTATCTGCTCATCTCCTCACACCTGCTTATCCCCAGTTTGGCCCATAGCACCCTTCAAAGGATCTTGTGGTACCTCAGGGTACCTTGGCACACAGGTTGAGAATCACTGGTCTATAAACCCTGCTCCCCAAGTCAATGGGAATTTCAATCTGAGCCTGGTTTCAGACTAGGTTCTTCACCCTGAAGAACAGAAAATTAAAAGTAGCCATAAATACCATGAAACTATATTTGGTTCCCTGAGTAAAGAAAGAGAAGAATAAACCCGTAAAGAGTTGGCATTCCTAGCTGATTCTCTTTAGGAACAGGTTACCTCTTAAACCAAAATTTGACAATAAGTGTTTGTGATAAAACCAATACAAAGCTGTGAGGAGAAAGGGAAGCACTGCAGTAAGGTCATAATTTAGTCCAGAGTGAATTTATTTCACTTGGAGGGCTTGCTTCCAATATTACTCTTACAAAAAAGGAGAGGATGGGAAGGAAATGTCGTGAAAAGTCATAAAAAAACTGGATAGCATAGGAAAAATGGATGATCTGAAAAACAAAAACAAACAAACAAACAAAAAAAAAAAAAAAAACTCAGGCACACAGGTGGTGCTGACACTTAATGAAACGAGGTGTGAACTCAGATTTTATATCCAGAAATAAAATTTTGTATCCAGAAACTTTGTGGTGGAAAAGTTTTGACTTTTCCCCAAATTTCCAAAACCTGAAGAGCCCCCTATCCCCTTCACCCCCATGCAGTAGATGAAAGCTGGCAATTCAAATTTTATTCCAAAATAGTAGAGTGGATGAGCCTCTCAAGATTGTGAAGCTTTTCTAAGCATACAGGTTTGAGTGCTGATCCATGCTGTACTCTCACGGAATCTCAGGGACCCGATTCTAATTGGCGATTCCAGTTTAAATCTGGACCCACTCCTGCTACACCTAAGCTAACATAACATCATGTTCCCTGCACCTGCACACTCACAGCTCAACCCTTCACCTCTTGTCTGTGTGGGATTTCTAAAGATTTCAACATGAATCTTGCAAACAGATGGCTTGGGTTCTTGGGCTGGACAGCTGATAAGAACAGGCTGAGACTTCCAGTCTTATCAGAGCCACAGAATACCTGAAGTAGCCTCTTTGATGATATTATGACAGATACCACCTGTTAGAAAGTGCAGAGCTATATGAAAATGAAACTTTTTTCAGACTCATTTAAGTCTGAAAGAGTTTTGAAAGGTTTGATTTGAGGTACATGAAAGAGTTCAGGTAGAAATAGTATAAATATAAAAGATATTCCCTGTAATTTAACTATAACATGTTTCACTTGCTATGGAAAGAAAGAGAAACCAATGTATTTTCCATGTACATAGACATTTTCTTCTTTCTTTTCTTTTTTTTCCTTTTAAAATCTTGTGATCACTACTGCAAACTGAAGTTGACATGTACTTTAATGTTTTAACACTATTAAAAAAAAAAAAAAGTCATGCAACACAGCATTACTTTATTCTGGCCTTTTCTCCCACATTTTCCTGGACACCATGCTATATAAACTGGCAGATTCTCGGCATCAGAGCTGGAGCAAGAGAACAAAGCTGCTCTGCAAGAGGGGTTTTTGTTTGTTTGTTTTTTTTTTTCTTTGAAGCCCTCTGTACTTACTTGTAGGTAACATGTCCTTGCCTGATTTGTGTGGTGCAAGACTGGATTAAATGTTTTACTTGTGTTCATGTAAATATCTAGAACACTCCCTTGTAATTAACGCCCCCGCCCCCACAAACAGGATGCAAATGGTCCTTACTCCAGAGCAGCTAAATAGGTCAACCTGATACCTGGCACAAAGGACTTTTAGTAAGTTGCCCAAAACAAACACAAGCATTTGTACCCATTCCAAAAGCAAGCAATACAAATTACAGGAAAGGAACATATTTTTGCAAACTTTCCAAAGGTTTTACCTGTTAGAATGAGGATGATGAGAACAGCAAAGACATCGGGGTATTTTGCTAGCACCCCAGGAGCATCCATAGTCAGGTAGGCTTGGCAGAACTGCTCAATGTGCTTCCCTATGATTTCATCAAATGTTGCACTCCAGGCTCTGGCCACACTTGATGTCCCTTTCAGAAAAGGGAGAGAACACAAATTATTTTCATTACTAGAATGCATCTTTAAATGTGTGGTACTGCTTGCTGCTCTGTGAACACCACTGGAATCTACTTCTGATGCATCTCTGCTTAACCCTGCAGGTCATTTAGAAGAGACTCATAGAAAACCCTCCCCCAGAGATCCACCTAGACATTCAATTTCAGTATAAACCCAAATCCCACTAGGCTGCTCTTTCACCATGAAACCAAGCCCAGCAATGCCTTGCCTTCCCCCACAACAGTTTCATTCCCTCAAGACCCTGCATTGCTTGCTGGTTTCAGGGCCCAAATCTCTCTCTTACTGAAACAAGGCATTAGGTGCGACTACAATCTACAAGCTGAAGGCACAGCAGCAACTGCTGACATATCCAAGCAGGTGATACCCAACCTAGTTTCATAGTTTCTAGGGTCGGAAGGGACCTGGGCAGATCATCTAGTCTGACCCCCTGCCATGGCAGGAAGGAGTACTGGGGTCCAACGACCCCA